TGCACTGCATATAAATTTTGCCACGCTTCAGCTCCACCACGTGTTATCAGAGCGAAGCAATCCTTGGCACATGCTGAAGAAAAGAAAAGGAAAAAAAAAAAAAATCAAACCCCAACGTACGGCGCTCATGCTTGACCTCAGGGTCTGTGCTGCTTTCCTTCTTCCGCACAGAGGTGTTGAGTTGTTCGTGGATACAAAATGTAGACTGCCCTTTGGAACTACTGCTTCCCAGCTGCATGACTATTATAAATCCACAGACAGACTGGTCTTTGCTATTGCATTTCTGAATTGAGGTGAAGTTGCTCAGTGAGAGTTTACAAAAAAAAAAAAAAAGAGAAGTCAATTTTCACCAGAAGCTCAAGACAGGAAAGGAAAGTCAACCACCCCCCTTTATCCTTTTTGCAAAAGAGATACTACACCGTGCGGCTAATTTCAAATTTCTCTCAAAGCAACATGCCCTACTCCATCTGTAGAGTGTACATTCACAAAGTACAAGAAGACACATTTACATATGAACATCTGACTCAAACCCAACAAACCTTTCCAACTTAACACTGGCATAGTGTTCTTATAGAACGATATGCTAGAGTGGTACCATATCAAAATCATTTACCTGGCTAACTTCTGTCAGTTTTACAGCTGATTAACAAAGTTATTCCAAAGCAAAGGAAAAAAAACCCAAAACAAAACTGCAAACCCTGAGTTTTCTGCTTTTCAGTGAGTCCAATATCCTCAACCAAGTGACTATGTAGGGAGACTTTACAATGACAGCACTGCTGTGTTTGTTTGCCGGGGCCGCGAATATCACATTTGTGTGCCGACACTATATGAAGTCACCTTTGAGCAGTCAGTCAAACTTTTTTTGTTCACAGAACCACGTTACGCTGACTCAACCCTCACCCGAGACAACAGTGACAGAAATACCTGCAAGTTGCCGCTGTGAGTCTGAACTGAATAAATAAAAAGTAGAACCCAACCAGAATGATCTCAAACAGTCCAGGAAAGAAGCGTGACGATGGAGACACTATACTGAGATAGAAATATACAAAAAAAGAGTATACTCTTACCAAAATACCTTTTGAAAAATATTGGATACAGACAGTTTGATTTTGGCTGTGTAAGAATTATCTGTTGTAGAAAGAGATCTGCAGTTGCATAGTTGATGAGAGTGGTTAGGAAGGAAAACTGAGGTGTGGTGGTTGCTTTCTAGATCAGCAGAATTTGTATTATTATCATTATTATTAATATTTCCCTCTTATTCCTTTTATTTCTCTGTGAGCGAAAGCTGCAATATCCTCTCCAGCTCCTCTTCCTCTTGTTTCCTCATTCTCTCTTCTTCCTCTTGAGCTCTTGCAGAAAGCTCCATTGCTAGACGCAGGTCTGACTCAGGGCTAGAGGCAGAGGCAGAGCTGGGAGGGCTGGAGGTGTCTCTATAATCCACCAGCACCCCCTCTGGGATACTCCTGGAAGGTCAACAGGATAAAACTGAGATTCACCTTTTTTTCCTGTTGCCTTTACTGATGCTTACAGGCAGTGAGGCAGAATATCATCCTCACAAGTGGACACTGAACAGACTTAAGGTGCACAGAATAAATATGTGATAAAGTTTGACTAAAAACACTGCAAAACCAACCATGTGAATCCCTAGGCCTCCTAAGCTGCAAGCACCTTCTATTAAAACATTCAGTAACAGAGTTACTTGTAACACTGTTAATCTGTTCCTACCTGTCACTCTGGTTAATCGGCATTACATCAGCGAAGTCCCCATCAACATTATCCCAGAGCCCCTCCTACAAACACACAAACACCAGGGGAAGTTACAGTCTTCAGCATGTGGGGGAAAAAATTGCATGAAAAAGATGTTTGTGTCAGTGACGATTGCTCTGACCTGGCCTGTGCCTTGACGAGACTCCAGGAGACTCTGATGGATGGCGTACTGTAAGAGCTCCTCATCGTTATTGGACACAGGCATGTGGCGGCTTCCCCCGCGGCGGTGATAACTCGCAGGTACCTCAAACACTGAGGGACACACCTGGAAAGGAGGTGGTGCTGGGTAGGGTGGATAAAAAAAAAAACAGCAGTTGAGCAGTTTAAAATGACAATCGTGCAGTTTGTGTTTAAATATTCTGGATAAACCATCAGCTTTCCAACCTGCTGCTTCATCGTCTCCTGTGGATGTTGGTGTGGCTGCTGCTGATGTGTTCGCTTCCTCCTCAGTGCTGCATTTATTTACACTACCAAAGGTAATCTTGGCATTAAGCACATGAAACAGGGGAATCTCTGAAAGAGAGGGCCACATGAGATACCAAAGTGACAACAGAAAGTGTATCAGAGTGCTTCTGAAAAAAATAACAATAAATAAATAAAAATCATAAAACTGAAAAATACCTATTTTAACAGGAAATCCAGGAGGGAATTTCAGGGTTACAAAGTCTCGTAGTCTTGCAAAATGGGAACTCGTGCGAGCCATGAGGTCGATAATGGGGGTTACCTGCTCCACCAGGGAGAGGGGATGGTCCTCACTCATCCACAATGTTCCTTTGAATCTGCGTGAGAGGAGATTGCAGATAAAGTGAAACATTAAATTCCACAATACAACTAGGAAAATGAGTGGACTGGAGTTTAGAACACTTGAAATTACTTCTGTGTTCGAATGCTCAGTTCAATAGGACGGCCGATGTCTCGTTTCACAAGGTCAAAGTCGGGATCAAAGTACTCCTCTGGAGTGATCGCAGTGGGATTGTTGGCAGTTGCATATTCGAGAGTCAGGTCCTACAGAATGATGAAGTCGCAAAAAATAAGCAGGTGCATGGCAACAAAATGCATCTCGTTTACAAAAATGCTGAAGGAACAACTTACTCCTTGCGCATTTATGTGCTGCTCCACAGTCCCCAGCAGAGACTCCAGGATGTTTCTTTCACCTTTGGAAAGAACAAAAGCAAAAGAAAAGCAGCCAATCAGCACTCAGATTCAGTTCTGTTATGAGTGTAAAGAAATGTTGACTATAACAACATTCAAACCACTTCCCTGACATTTTGAACTGGCAGCAGATTTCATGTTGTTTTGAAAGGCATCAACAATTAAACTTTATTATTACGATTATTTGATTTCGCTGACACTTTGGGTCCTTTGGGTTAGTGGATGGGGCATCCATGGATCTGCCTCAATTAGTCAGGGATACATGTCAGAGAGGACGACCCTGCCAGTGTTGGTGCTGGTGTTTAGGTGAGTGATACAAGGCAAAATAATAGCCACATTAATACTAGAGCGCTACAAAGCGAGATCAATGGTTAGCGAGCTATGTCAAGCTTAAAGTTGGAGTTTTTTGTGTGACAAGAGCAGCTCTCGTTTTACGTGGCTAAATCACCATGGTAACTTGTGCTGAATGAATAATCTTGTGGGGCAAAAGTTATGTTTAGAGTTTCAGTTTAAAATATACCACGACTTCATTGATTCTTTTTTCTCCTCCCGAAGGGTAGGTGTATGCATTTGGTTCTTTTTTAGTGTGTGTTTGTTAGCATTCTTATCAAGATATCTTTTTCTTGAGCTGATGTCATTTTGGTAAAAAAAACAAAAAAAAAAACCTAACCCCTAACCCTATCAGGTCAAGGTCACACCAAGTGTGAAAAATTAAATGTAAAAACTTTATATTACCCACAATTTTTATAGATCATCTTCAAACTTCACATAAGTACCTAGGTTGGCTTCACCTTCATTCTTAGCACCAAAGGCTAAAGTTCACTGTGAAAAACGCATTCCAAGGAACCTGTCAAAATATATACTCTTAGAATATATCATGAGAGTAATAACATCATATGAAAGGGCATGGAGGGAGCTATGAACCAAATACGACATCCTATGATGTCACAATGACACCATAACAGGCTGAAAACAGTGTGTTGTAATAAAGTCATCATAAAACATTGAAGTTTAGTGTAGCCCTCGCCCTGCAGAAGGAGATCTCCCTGAGTGCTCTTGTTTACAGCTTGTTTTCTCCGCTGGGAGGATGAGGGAATTTTATACGTGGAAGTTAAGTTATTAAGCCCTACCTTACTGATATAATGAAAGAAGCAAAGCTGTAAAATCACAGCAGGTCCCTTAAAATTTGCATATATTGTTTTGGCGATGCAGAAAACGTATAAATGTTTTTATGCTTGCTTCCAATCTGCTGATAAGTCTCCTTTACACTGCAGGAATTGCAGCTGCTGGAACACACAACAGACACCAAAAATGTTTATTAAATTTAAAAAAATTAATACAACTTTGATCCACTGACAAATTAAAAAAATTTCCATGTCTGCTTTATTTGTCTGTGCAGAGCCTGAATCAGAAAGTCTGGCTTAACAGGTCCGTTATCGTTAACTAGGTTCTAGGTTTTGTGAGCCAGCTAACACAAAGAAAGCCTGGCTGTGTTGAGCTTCTTTCAAAGGATACTTAATACTTAATGCTGTCACTGATCAGTTCATTTAAACTATATGTTGAAACCCCCCCCCCAAAAGCAAACAAAAACAATATATATACTGAAATACTTAAAAACTGTACTTTTTATCCTGGCTTTCTCCTCGTCTGTAAGATGCTCCGTCCGGGTCCTGATTACCACATTTACATTGTTCACACTGAAAACCTGAGAAAATGACAAAAATACAGTGTCAGGTAATAAAACCAGCACATTTTATAAACACATTTTGGTTTGATACATAACTTCTCTATACCTTCGCTTCAAATCCATTGACTACTTCAGTTTTATCAGCTCTCCAGCCCCAAATGCCAGACTTAGTCCTGTAGGAAAAACACAAAACAAAAGACTGGTATATTTCCAGAAAACATAAAACATCATAATAGAAGAGATTCATCGTTGTTCTTTAGATTCAAATACATTCACAATCCAACAGTACAACAGCAACTACTAATGTAAGGATAGCTGAAATAAGATGCCGTCTGTCACCTGTGTCATCATCATTGTGATAACATTTACTCTAGCTAGATGTTGAATAAACAAAAAAAAAGTACTAAAGATAAATATAAATATTGCATTTAGATGCTATAGATTCCAGAAGGACAGACATGAAAAATCTTGAATATCTCATGTAATAATTCCATAATAACTCAATATACTGTATAATAGAGAGTCATCTACCCTGCTATTTTAACATTTTAGATTCTGGTTTGACATGTTAATTTTGAAAAATGTAAGAATATTCCATGTATGGCCTCAATAAAGTATTTATTATCTTATACTGGAAATGTCATCCATAGATCAAGGGTGGTGATCATTAACTCTAATGGGTTACACAGTAACCTGGCTCAGGCAGTAATTCCACTGAAACAAGATGCCATGAGAAGCCAACTCTCGTGAAGTAGCATAGCTTTGGAGTAGGGCTGGGCTATATCATACCGTTTATGGTAATACCGGTGTAATTTTGGGCAACGATAGGAAAATGAAATATCGCGATAGAATATGGGTAAAACGCGCATGCGCCGTGCCTATGTTTACATACGCACATTGCGGCGACGCAGAATGAGGAGAGCGAAAGTGGATCGTTAAATGAAACAGATGAACCAGAATTGGTTTGTAAAAATGCTGCAACACCAGTGGTGTGGAACCGGTTTAGCTTTCGTTCGCCAAAAACACAACAAAGCACTATTTTTGGTAGAGCATGCTAGCGGCCGTCGTTATTACTGTGTTGTTTGGAAAATACGGCACACTTAAAATCAATCCTTTGATTTTTCTGAAAATCGACAGTGCCCCTTATAATCCCGTGTGCCTTATGTATGAATTCTGGTTGTGTTTACTGACCTCAAAACGATTTTATGTCGTACATGGCGCTCGAAAATCTGTCAAATGTTTTAGTACGACTTTGCTAAGCTATGAAGCCGCACTGCTTGATGGATTGTCGGAGCATTAGGGCTATATTAGGCAGGCGCCTCGCGGAGTGATACGTACTGTGCTTCAACATAATATTACCGTATTGTGTGTGTATAACCTCTTTTTAAGTTTTGTGGATATTATACATGGTTATGCTGAGGATATGTTGGCCAATTTCCACTGGAAATGCCTTTTGGTTAAACTGTCAGCAAGGAATTTGATTACATTGATGGGGTTTTTTGCACTAATAAAGTTGTGGAGTTGTAAAGTATTTTGTCTAGTGTCAATTATATCGTCAGTTATATCGTTATCGCAAATTTTCAAATGTATTTTGTGATAAATATTTTTGGTCATATCGCCCTGCTCTACTTTGGAGTTCTGTTGCGGCTTATCAAACAAATTTAGATCCATTCCTGACATGAGGAAAAACAGGAACAAGGAAGAATAAATGCCTCTTACCTCTCAAAAGCAATATCCTTTGTGTCCAAGTAGGTGTTGACAATAGGAGTTGTCAACCTTTTGGCAACTTCCTGCTCAGCTGGCTGCATTGACTCTAACGTCACATCCTCCATTTCTTGGGATATGTTGAAGCGTTCGACGTCCACGACTTCATCATCGTGGTTCACCTCCATCAGCTCTGCAAATGAATCTGCCGACATGCAGACACGGAGTCGATTAGACCATTTTAACCAAAACAGCAGCAAAGAAAACTCGTCTGTGTGAGGGAGTGTAAACACATGCCATCTCCTCTGAAGATGTAGCTTCTACGCCCTCTGATCCAGGTCATGTTCTCAAAGCCTAGAAGAGTAACATCCACTCGCAGCGAGGCGCCGCTTTTCCAGATGCGGCAAACATCACTGGGACAAACCCGGGACACGAGAGGAACTGCGAAACAACAGGATACAGAAACAAAAAGCATCCATACGTGAAAAACACCACTTAAGCAAACAAATACTTCACCTGCCATCAGGCAGGTATGTAGTTTTTCCTGTGTGACCTGATGAAGCCGCACAGGAAAAGTGTCAATCTTTAAAAACAGACTGCTGGCTTAAATAAAAAAACTTTTAAAACCATCCCTCTTTTGCATACTGGATTTCTGATAAACTAGCTGTTTTTGCATGAACATAATACTATTTATACACTTCTCTACTTTAAAAATCTACTTAAAAAAATATATTTCCACTCACAAAAAAACAGAACTTACTCCAACTGGTGAATTCCCATTTCATCTCCATATAGAAGTCTGGAGACTAGAAAGGGCAAAAGAACTGTTATAAATGTTTCCAGGCACACTTACAAATGATGACAAGCAAAAGGGAAAAATATATGAAGTCACACCACGCGGATCTTTGACAGCAGCTCAGGCACTCCTCCCAGGGCAGTGGAGGCTTTGAGGTAGTCTCTGCGTTGAAGCACTAACTGAACCATCTCTGGATCTCCTGTGCTGACTGCTTCCTGCAGCACTGCTCATAGAAAGTCAAGCAGAAACAAACCACTAAACCTTTTATTGCAACAGCATCCGTTTCCTCTGAGAAACGATTAACCATTAAAAACCTCAGCAATTAAATCAAAGACCAAAGAAACCATTTTAATGCTGTTGTAGGAGTTGATATTGTTGGATAAGCATATTTACAAGAAACCTCATCAACAGCAGATGATGGGTAGGGTTATAGACAGCAGGGATCGAAAATGAACCAACAAACCAATCCAAATCCTAGCCCTTCTTGTCTGTTATGTAGCTAGCTTTGTAACAAACCTGTCCAATTATTGGCATTTTCTTTAGTCACTTGACCACCATGTCTCAGCAGGATTCTCACTGACTCCAGGTGCCCGAGTGATACAGCCAGGTGCAGAGGTGTTCGGCCTCTGGGATCCACAGCCTCGATGTCATTCTGAAAAATAATAAGGTGCCTGTTTAGATTAAATACTACCGAGCTGACATAACAACCTCCAAGCAATTACTATAACCAGTGCAGTCAACAACATGCAATTTGGTCATGGCTAATAATGATATAAAACTGCTGGAGTCAGTACAGAGGAATCATAATAATTGTATAGTTTGGATGTATAAGCCCAACAAGGGCTGAAAATTAGGAACAGCTATAAACTCTTTGTGCAGCACATCAGTTTCATGCTCTGTACTGGAACTATGTCAAACTGCATTGTCCATTTTAAGTAAATAAAATACACTCTCAAGCACGTATTGAGGTAATTATCGGCGTAGGGATGGGAATCTAGACCTTATACTATTCATCTGATTATCATAAACCCCCCAAAACATCGAATCTTTTCACGACACATGGCATGTTTTTCCAAAAGTTGCAGATTGCACAACAGTGACACCAGACTCGTGATAGCGGCACTTTTTACACACCTGAGTCACATGCAAGCTTTTTTCCCCTTACACTTTGTCCAAGCAGTGAAAATGAAACTGTGTGTTGACAGTGAAAACCAATCTGACCTATAAAGAAAATCAATAATGGCATTTGTATCAATAAACTCTTATCAATACCCATCCCTAACACTGCTTATTGTTTGAGCTACTGGATCTCTCCATTTTGAAGCTAAATAGCAATGCCGAGTTACTGTAGATAGTGCAAAATAAACAACAAATCTATGCATGCGAGTGATAAAACACGTACTGCTATCTGTTAATCAGTGTATTTGAGGAATCCAGTGAAATGGGACAGAAGCTTACATTTTAACTGGAAACAAGCTACCAGTCTGCACCGGAAGACTTTTGTTTTTTTTTTGTCTTTTAAAGCTTTCAAACTTATAGATGCGTAAAAAGCTACGCTACTCAGTGTCATGTGTATGTGGCTGCCTGCGGAGCATCTGTAAACACCACTGGCCTTCTTTAACTGCCTGCCTGCGGAAATTCGGCAGCTCACTCCTGGCTTAGTCCGGCTAGCTGAGTATTGGTGCCAAGGTTACCAACCTCTCCAGTGGTTTTAACCAACCTGCGTTGATGTTAATAGCTGCTCCAGCTTCCTGTAGTCATTCTCCCACACTGCGGAATGTAGGGGAAACTTCACCCTGATGTCTTCGCTAATGTTAGCCATGGACATCTTCCTCTTTCTTTCAGTGCAACGTTAGCCACCCTCTAACAACTGGAGCCATGAGAAAAGCTGGGACAGCCACAGTAGTTACGCCAAAAAGCTTTGATCCATGCCTTTAATGTCTGACAGCAGCGTCGAAGTAATAACCAATCCGGTGACCAACTTTCCCCCCCAAGCCTTCCCCTAAATAAAACTTTTGAACAAGGAAGTGCCAGGAGTAGTTCCCAGCAACGACAGGGGTGTTCTATATAGAAACAGACTCGCAGTCCATTAAATATCGCCTGATTAAGGTAACCTAATGGTCCATTTTAAAGCGATACCTTCTTTATATACGGTTTACAAAAAAACATTTAGGCTAAAAACAAATGAAACAGCACTCGTAGATAAAATCATCGCCTTAAAAAAATAATAGACAGTTCCAGTCTGGAATCAACCATTTAGCATGTCGACGTGGGGGTTGCAGAACCTTCATTGTTAGTACTATGACTAAATAAAGTGATTTCTGTATTGTCTAACTTTGGTTTCCATAATTTGAATTCTTGAAATGTAGCGCTGCTATATCGTGCAGACATCAGCTAAACAAACCATGTAAATTCCCAGAAAGTTAATTGTCCTATTGTGCCCTATAACATTGAAATGGGGTTGGCAATATTACGTTTTCAGGGAGGGGGTGGATGCGGGTTAAAAGTCTAAATCTGTACCGCCAGGTTATAATGTACATAACTACGCCTGCTAAATTTAAAGATAGTATATAACGTTGTATGTATCCGGCCTATTGTTTTAAACTTCACAAATCAATATTAATTAAAAACTCATCTGTTTCAGTTACGTTCGGTGCCTTTTTCTGCTCTACGGAGTCAAATTTTAATACATGATTTAATACACATGACTGTTTTCATGTCTTGTATCTGGGTTGGTCACTTGCCGTTTTGGTTTTTTTAATCTAAAATTGCATCAGTGTTAAATTTAAGACGTAAAAAATACTACAGTGTGCTCCAAGGTGAGTAGATCAAACTCACCTCTTTTAGGGAAAATTAAAACCCCGATTTTAATCTGTCAGGTTGTGTACCGACAAAAACGAGTTTCACAAGTATTGTGTTGTATTCATATTTCATGTTTACCCGTAGCTATAAAATTAGAGAATGGGAACAAATTTCAAGCAGGACTTATTCGTATTATTTTGAGAGGTTTATTTCCAGAGAGTCAAAACTATGGGCAAAGTAAACCACATTTATAGGTCACAGTCACAACTGCCTCTGGGATCGCGCTAGCGCTAAATGCTGCTGTCTAGAGGCAGAGGAGTAAACTACCAAGTGTGCACAGGCTAGTTAGCTAATCAGGTGGCTGCTCAGTCAGCTCACTTGCAGACGAGCGGCGTTGTAGCGGGAGGAAATGTTATCATGGTCATAACTCCAACGCTAGCCAAAACGAAAAGGCTCGCAACGGTTAAAAGGAAGTAAGTACGATAGTTAGTTGTTGGATTGTTTTTAATTTGCTGGGTTTGGCTAACGCGGAAGGCATTTTAACAGAGTAATCAATGGTTAGCATAACGGACACAATTTCCTCTACTCAGTTTTAAAAGGCGTTTCTTCCCGAGTTGAGGATGTCTAAACGCCTGCGAAACACTGAGGTCTGCGCAGATTGCTCTGTCCCAGGTAAGTAAAACTCACACCATCTATGCAGTGTTTGTCTGTTAGCTGAAATTTAGTGCTTAAGAAACACCCCAAATCCAAATAAATCCGATTAGCAGCGCTGGCAACACGTTTCTCTTTACAGTAATTTAGGGTATCCAGTTAGTATTCTTGTCTAACGCCATAGCTCCCTTCATGAAAGGAGTTTTTAGGGTGCCGCTTGGTTTAATAACCAAACAAAACCCTATTATAATTATATGATATGTCCCTTTTATATGCCCATTATAAAATTAACTTTCAACTGCTGGGATTAAATGTTTCTCATGAGTAAAGTGTAATAAAAAAAGGGGGCATAACAGTGGTCTTCTGGCACGATGTAACTCAGCTGAACTAAAGATGTTAATGAGTAATGACTGTATTGTATTTCCTACTGTATTCATAAAGATTTGATTATTTAAAAAAGTCGTTGCATCCTTAACCCAAATTTGCAGTCCGTGTCATCTGTAACCAGTCACTTGTAATGTAATAGAGTAAAAAAAATAGTGCTATAACCACTTATATGGCATCAGGGTGCACCAGCACTCTCTAACAGAGCTTTGTTTTTCGGGACCAATGGCACCAAGCTCTGAGAGCTGAGCATACAATTGTTGTATTGTGTCTGAGGCTGTACTTACAGAAGTTCCACTTGTATAGAAATGACGTGATGCTGTTCAGCAGGCACAGGAAGCAAAACAGGATGCTGAGTGAATTGACCGCATACTCAATGCAGGAGAGATTTTATTTTTCTTCTTCTTGTGGCAACATAATGCACTGTAAATTAAACAAAGTCTAATAATAGAAAATACATCGGTTTGTTTTGCATCATTCAGCGGAACGCAAATATTAAGAAGCTCGTCTGTCATCATGTCACTCATGTCATTAGTTAACCCTGAGCTCTCCTCAGCAGCTGCCCTGGATTGCCCCACTTTATGGCTGCTACCAGTTGTTGGGTGTGAATATTTTTAGCGTTTCAAGATGTGGTATTAAATTTAGCAGCACGTGCTGAGGAGAGCACTGAGACTCGGGAGGTCCTGAGGGAGAGTTGTTAGAAGGAGATTCTGAAAACTCGGGGACCAGGAGCCACAATCTGTCCAGCGACCTCCTGCATCTGTTGCTCCTGCACTGCAGCTGCTGTTGGGATTTTTACAGCGCCTGTCCCGTCACTCTATCTGCTTAAAACTCAGTGGGCTTTAGTGTTGTATCATTTTACAGTGTTTCTAGTCTTGATGTTTGCTGTCAAGAAGAGTCTGTGCACAGATGGAAGACAACTCTGTGACTTTTGCACTGCATGAACCGTGCAAAATAGGCCAAGGTTAAGTAAACACATTTATTTTGATCACAGAGTCATAGTACACTTTTAATTCATAGGGCAAAAAACACCACGCATTAGGTTAATATTGCAGCTCAGTTCTAAGATTATTAGTTCTTCAGGTATTTTCTTTATAGTGCTTTGAAAGAGGAAGCTGCTCTGTTATGAGGCGCCTAGTCTTCACTTCCTTTTTACACAACCCATAGCTTCACCTAAATCTGCAGCCAGAAAGGCGATACATGACTATGAATGTGACCTTTTTCACAGCCTGTTTTGAGTTTGGCTTTTTCTTTTCTTTCTTTCTTGGATTGTGTTTTTCTTCATTAGATCTTAAAGCATCCACTCAGCGTCTTGTGATATTATTATGTTTAATTATATGACATATAATACATTGTGATCTAGTGTCCAGAAATTTAATGAAAACTCCAACACCAACATTTTGTTAATCCCATGTGTTGAAAGCCAATGAAGATTTTTTTAAAAATAAAATATATGAAATAACCATTTTCAAAAGCCTCAGCTATTTCTTCCAGCAGGACACTAGTTTTCAGCGAATGCCACTTGAGCAGGATTAAACAGCATATTTTTCAGGGACCTTTCTCAGCTATAGTTAACTATATGTTTGTTTTCTCAGAGCGGGTCTGGGGACAGCTTTGTGCTAAGGGGTCCTCAAAATAATATGCTTTAACTCATAAAATCATGCCATAGCAATCAAAAACAAAATACCTTATGGAGACTATTTATGCTATCAAAACAATCAGATTCTGTCAATTATTTCATTCTGTGGGATCTTTGGCCCAAATGAAACTCTTATGTTGTCTCGAAACTCTGATATCATCTCTTTCTGTCATGAAATCACAACTCTTTTTAGGGTGCTAAGAACCTAAAAGATAGTTGTCTTAAGCCCAATTCAGCTAAATCTGTCAGAATTATGAGAGATCCATGTGAAACGGTTACTTCTGTGCCTCTAAAAATTTGAGAGCTCATTTTTGTAGGTGTGTAATGGTGTGTGAAGTGATATCAGTGTGGCTTGGCTATAATTTTCAAGAGTCCTATGGCACAGAAGAATAAACTGTATTAAACTTTGGGTAAATTAGCAGTACTTGTGAGTAAGAACTATCAAATGATGTTTTTTCCTTGGACAAAAAAGCAAAATATCATAATTATTACCAAGTAAGCACCTGCCTGTAGTAGTCATCTTACAACAGCGGTAACAGGAGGCTCTTTGGGTCCAGCTTGTTGTCGAAAGAGAAGCACTGAGTTGATTTGAATGATGATAAAAAGAGAAAGAAAGATTGACTTCCTCGGCTTGATCAAAGTAAAACCAGTGAACTGCTCGAACTCCAAGATTATACTCTAAGTGCACAATTTATCTATCATAATTGTGACCTGGTTGTTTTCTGTTCTCGCTCAGAACCTCGCTGGGCCTCGGTGAACAGAGGCGTGTTGATCTGTGACGAGTGCTGCAGTGTACATCGGAGCCTGGGCAGACACAGCTCCCAAGTGCGCCACCTGACGCACACGCCATGGCCCCCTACGCAGCTGCAGGTAAATAATCCTCAACAGAAATATTTTGATCATTCAGCTGTTGCATTCATATTTATTCAATTGGCTGTGAACTTGTCTTACTTGTAGTTTCTGTGCTTAGATGCTGAACTAAAGCCATTAGAGCATGTTATACTTGGGTTTGGGTTAGTATTACTTCAGTTTTAAATTCAGTAGAGCTGTATGACATCAAGTGCAGCAGATCCCCTGAGGTGTATTGATTTTTGTCCAAATATAGCAAGTGCAGCACAGGAAGGGGATTTATTTATTTATTTATTTTCCCCTCACCATTCGAAGGTCTAAATCAATATGACAAATTATACACAATGCTTTCCTTTTTAATCTAACCTAGATGGTTCAGACATTATACAACAACGGTGCGAATTCAATTTGGGAGCACTCCCTTCTGGACCCTGCGTCTGTGACGAGTGGAAAACGCAAGGCCAACCCTCAGGACAAACTCCAGTGAGTCATAAATGTTTGGAAATGATTATGGAGTACTTTTTTGTTTTTTAATAAAAAAATGACGATGGACTCTCTTGCTGCTTTCTCATTCATAGTCTCTCAATGTCTTTTGTGTGTGTGTTTCATGGCATCCCAAAAGTCCAAACAAATCAGAGTTTATAAGAGCCAAATATCAAATGCTGGCGTTTGTCCATCGCATGCCTTGCCGAGAGGATGACAGCTCAACAGCCAAGGATTTAAGCAAGGTGAGGAGAAATGGTTGGGTACAGTGATCTGCCGGGGAAAGAAAGGAAGCACGTTTTTGAACAGAGCTCTATTGTTGTGCTTTTTAAAGTCACAGTTAAATTTGTTAATTTCTTCTTTTTTTTCCCCCCCCAGCAACTTCACTCAAGCGTACGCACTGGTAATCTGGAGACTTGTTTGAGGTTGCTGACA